GCGACCATGGAGAGTAGCGCACGTACTGTGTCGTACTTTGCGACGGGGGCGAAGGTGTCGGTATAGTCTAGACCTTCAATCTGTGTGAAGCCCTGTGCAACAAGACGAGCCTTATGACGGGCAATCTGACCATTCTCGTCATATTTGTGCGAGTATACCCACCGCGAGCCTACTGCTTTTCTCCCTGATGGGGGTGGTGTTAAGACACCCACTCCTTTTTCTCCCAACAAAGCTAACTCTTCATTCATCGCACTTTCCCAATGACCCGAATCCATTGACAAGCGAGCCACAGCTATCGTTTTCGGGGGAAGCTTCCGTCCATCAATTTTATGGCTGTCCGTCAAGGATACGTGTATTGCGGAGTGTTTGATGGTGATGTTTGGGGTTGCAGTAGTAACACAGTCTTGTTCTTCGTCAACTTCCTCCTCGACGGTGATGGGGACGTAGGTCCAATGCCGCTGTACTGGAATATGTTTGGTCGGAATAGCAACAGACTTTGGGACCGCTGGTCGTGCGTTGATGCATTGGCGTGTTGAACGTCGTGGCTCAGGAGGTGGTGCAGTTTCTACAGGGGGTTCAATGGTAGCGGGGACTGGGAGGACATTGTCATTTGACTGCGGGAATGGCTGTGGAGGTTCGGGGATGGGAGGAGTGGAAAACGGAAGTGCTCCCACTGAAACAGTACTGGGTCCTGGTAATGTGATCTCAGAACCATCTTCTTGAGGTCGTGTGATTTTGAAGCCGTCTTCTGATATTGGCAGTGGTTGTGGCAATGCAGGAGTGGACTGCTGCATTAGCGTGCGCTGATTATATAGTTCGACAAGGGGGGAAACAACTGAGTTGGGTGTGCCATAGAAGACGGTTTCATCAAAATGAACATTCCGGGAGCGTATCGTTTGTTGTGTTGCTGGGTCCCATAGAAGGTATCCAGCATCCTTGACATGTCCTAATAAGAAGCACCACTTGGAGACGAATTCGTATTTGTTGCGATTATCATCTGGGATGTGAGCATAGGCGAGGCAGCCAAATGGGCGTAAGTGCGAGACATTTGGTAGTTCACCATAGAAGAGTTCAAACGGTGTCCTATTGCTGACGACGGAAGGAAGTTCTTGATATAAACTGAGTTAAGGATAGCATGACCCCAGAACGAACGGGGGTAACCGCTCTGGTGGTGAGCGCTCAATGCTCGAGTGGCAACCGTCTGGTGTCCACGCTCTGCAACGCTGTTTTGTTCTGCTGTGTATGGCATCGTAAGTTCATGTTCAATGCCCTTACTGCGCAAAAACTCGATGGTAGCGTGAGAGACATATTCACCGCCATTGTCGCTGCAGAGACGTTTGACCCGCTGACCTGACTGGTTCTCAATCCACGCGATATATCGCAGAAGGTGAGAATGTACCTCACTCTTGTGCTTAAGGAGGTAAATGGTCGAAAAGCGTGAAAAATCGTCTGTGAAGGCGACGAAATATGTTTCGCCAGATTGTGTTGCAGTGTTGATGGGTCCCCAAACATCAGTGTGAATGAGCTCGGCGATGTGGGTCGCATGGTGTCGAGCATGAGACAGGAACGGCAAGCGTTTCTGTTTGCCCATTAGGCACGATGGACAGTCAATATGGTCACCAGGTCCTGCAGACTCGTCTGAGGAATCAAGGGATAGCCCCACTACGACCTTCTCGGCTTTTCGCAAGGTGGAGTTTGCGGCATGACCCATGTGCGCATGCCATACAGTGAGTGGTAAGGGCATAGCTGAGGTGGATCTGCTGGCAAAAGCCATATGGGTGTGCTTGGCCTGGAGATAGTACAAACCAGCAGAGCATTCCACACGTGCGATCACGGTTCTATCAGCACGATGCATTTGTCCCCCTTCAGCATCCGTTTGGAAAAAGATGCCTTCCGACGCTAAAGCTGATACAGATATTAGTGTGCACCGTAGGTCAGGTACATGGAGGAAGGGGAGTTTGATGGACTCATGTTTCCCGTTGTTGTTGAGCGCTAGTGTGATGAATCCCCATCCTGGGGCAAGAACAGTATCATTATCGGCAAGCTTCACGGTTAGAGGGGGGTTATAGGTTCTGTAACGAGTGAAGAGGGAGTGTTTGGATTCCATATGTGTGGTGGCAGCTGAGTCTACGTGGAACGGGAATGAAATAGTGTTCATATTAGAGTAACTGGCAGAGTGCGCAGGTAGGCAAAGGAAGGACGGGACGTTGTCAGGTTGTCCTGTCGTGAGAGCCGACATGTCAGTGCCTTGTGAGGGTGAGGAAGGGATGCATGCTGACATATTGGATGAGTCCGATTTTCCTAGGTGAGCACGGCAGTTGTGCCAGATGTGGCCTGTGCGTTTGCAAGATCCACATGTCGAACACCACGACAATTCCCATTTATCCCCCTTGGAGGCATCAAAATCCTTTGGTTTGGCACGCTTGGTAGGTTTACCTGCTTTCGCCACCCTAGCAGCCATGGCTGTGTGGTGCGCATGTGGGTTTGCAGAGCCGAAACTTGCATAATACTGTTCCGAGTTCCTGATCTGGCTGATGACTCCTTCCAGCGTTAGCTTTCCAGTATTGGCGTCAGCGCTATGGAGTATGAGCTGGGAAAGCGGCGCATAGAAGTCGGGAAGGGCACGCAGTAGCGCTTGGACAAGGGTATATTCATTGCACTTCCATTCGATGGATTCAATGACCTTGAATTGGGCCTTGATGTCCGTGATCTCCTTAATGGTCTTGGTAAGGGAGTTGCTATCAGATGCTTTGGGAAGGTCAAAAATATGGCCCATAAGGCTCGTAAAGCGGATGCCAACAGATGCCTGATACTTGTCTTCTAGCACTTTCCAGATGGCAGCTGGATCAGTGACACCCATGAAGTGGATGAGGTCACTTGAATGTACCGTCATACCAAGGAGTCCTTTGGTTATGCTTTGGCGTTCTCGGAAAGAAATGACATCCGCGCTCGCATCATGTGTCACAAGGCGTTTGTTGAAATCAGCCTCAGTCTCAGTGGTGCTTCTGGTTGGGCACAGAGGACCCTTCTCATCTCCTGAAAGGAGGCGCCAAAGGTTGAAGAGCGAGAGCCAAAGGTCCATGGTCGTTACCCATGAGGTGTAGTTGGAGCCATTGGCATCCAGAGGAGGGTGAGGAAAAGATGTTGGAATCTGGATGTTGGATGACAATATGGTGGACATCACTGGTGTCGAACGATGTGTCGGCGATGGCGACAGTAGAATGGGAAGATTAAATGGGTTTGGTAACGAGCGAGTTGGTACGACAGGCGTCAATGGCAGCGATGGCGGCAAGGGAATGGATAAGATCCGCGGGTCAAGTGGGGATAGAGGGCGACCTTGTTCCAGTTCGGAAAAAGTCGGAGAGGCTCAGATAAGGCGAGTGGAAGCGAGAAATGAATGTAGGCCTAGTCTGAGCCAGGGCTCATAACTTATCAGAAGTGACAAGACTCAGACTAGGGAACTAAGGATGGGAACGGACTCAGTCTTGGATCGAAAGACTTGGGGAGATTATTCGACGAGGGGAGGAATTAATACGTTGATTGAGACGGAGAATCAATAGGGAACGTGTATGACGCATGATAGGAGGAGTGATTGTGTATGTAATAGAAAAAGGTTAAGTATGTGTAAAGGTCATATCTTGATATGCCTGTGCCAGGATTGAAGATCAGGAAGGCGTTGAGAGAGGTAGGCGTGTTCAGCAGAAAGTTGACCACCGGAAAGAGCGTAGAGGCGACACGAAGTGAGCGTGCCAGAGAGCATATGAGTGCCACTTGCGGCCTGAACCCAGCAGCTGGTAGCATCGAAGGACGCAACACAACGGTGAGCGGCACAGAGAGATGACACAGAAATGAGCCGAACAGTGGCAGCTGGGATGAATAGAATGTGGTCAAGGGTGATATGGATCCCTTTGGCCACGACGAGGGGTAGAGTGCCGATGCCAATCGCCTGAATGGATGACCCGCCAACACCATTCACAGTGTGGGGGGGGATGGGGCGGAGACTGAAGAAATCACCCTCGGTGTTACTGATATGAACAGAGGCACCACTGTCCAAGAAGAACGGGACGATGGAGGGGTCGACGATGGTGCATTGACGTTGATTGGGGGCCTTATAGGTGAGTCCAGCGAAATCGACTGAGCGGGTGCACTGACGCCAATCGAGGCTGGTCTGGAAGTCGTTGAACGCAGCGAGGAGAGCAGTGAACTCATTATCGTCGATGGAGGAAAGCTCCTGAATGAAGGCAGGGGTGAAGGTGTCACTGGCGAGGCCAGCAAACTCCTGAGATGCAGGAGGTGGGTGGTCACTGGAGGTGACAAACACGGCCTCCTGGGTCTCGCTATCCAGAATATATGCGCGGCTGCCAACGTCGTAGCGAACACCGCCAGGTTTCCCAGTAGAAGCTGGCTTACCAGGCTTGGCCAAAGGGGCCTTGGGGGTAGACTCGCATGCACATCAGGAAATCACGAGTTTACTTTTTGCCCACTAATGTACAACTTTTTGCACAAAGCAGTGGGGAAGTAGTGCGAAGGCAATAAAAGTAAAAGCTACTTTTTTCAGTAGATCTCTCGGCCCCAAATCCAACTTTTTTTTCAACTTATTTTGCAAGACCCACATAAAACGGCACAATAGTGAGCATTAAAAGTTGTCAACATTAAAATAAGTAGTCCAAAAGTGCGAAAAATGGAGATAAAAAGCAGTCTAGGAGTAGTTCACAAACGCAAAAGACGGCTCAATACAGCGGGGGGAATGACGGGGAAGATGTGTTTGAATGTGTGGAAGCAGAGTCCAGAGAGTACGGAAATGATGGAGGACACCGGTGAAAACAGTAAACATCCTGTTGGACACATAAGTAGAGCGCATGTCAAGTAAAAAAACACTTACAGAGCAGGGCACGCTTGCCCTTAGGTTTCAGCTCCTCGGCAGGAGCACTCTTGAGTTTTTTGGCTGCTTCCTGGCGCTTGTGCACCAGGGCGATTATGTCCGCAGTGTACTTCACCCCTCACCTCTTGAGGGACTCGTAGTATTCGGATGTCGCTGAGCCACAGTTTGCCTCCGAAAAGGCTGATATTGCGGTGCTCTCTTTACTGCTGGTGTTGTTTTGCTTCAAAACTTTCGGCTTCGCAGCGAAATTAAAGGCACGTTCGAGCTGCAAAGGTGGACCGTCAATTGAAGTCAAAAACCATAGATGGGACCTACTGCAGCAGCACTTGCAGCAATTACAGCCTGCATGCCCTTCACCTGCAGAGCATCCATGTTGAGTGCCGGTACATTGAGGAATCCGGCAATCGCGTTGATGTGAGCAGACTCAATCAGTTCCAACATGAACACCGACCGGTAGATCTTGTCTGCATCACGAGTCTCTGGATCCTCATAGAGGAAGGCCCAGTTTTCGAGAAGAAAATGTTGCCAGCCCCTGTTCATACTCAGCACCGTCGTCGTCATCGTCATTGTCGTCATTCTTGTCATTTCTAGAGGCCGCCAGAAAGTTCGCGATGAGGGCAATAGCTGTTGATCCAAAGTTGCTGCGCCAGGAGCATATACGCTGATTCACCTTCAAATGAAGGACAATTTACAGTTAGAAAGATAGTTAGGATGTGAAAATAAATTTGACTTGGACTTACCAAGCCTACTATGGGACCTTTTGGTTGAATGTTGTGATTTATTCCTGGAAATGAGACATTGAAAATAGCCTGGAGTGCCGGAAGTAATTTTTCGGTCTCGATAGACCAAAATTTTGGCTGAGCACCTGCCCAAAGAAAGACCGTTGGGATAAATGTCCGGCGCCATGCGCCACCCTCCAACATAATCGGTGGGAGGTCCATGTTTTGCCATTGAGCGCCAGTTTTGGGCTTTGTCGACATGTCGGCAGCCATCAAATTGGGTTCGGAGGGCATCGAAAGTACTGGTTCCAGTTTAGCTTTCTTGGGTGGGCTCGGTTTCTCGGCGACTGTCACACTGGTCTAGCAAATACCTCAGTATTGAGAGAATAAATATTGAACCAACACTTACCTTTGTAGTAATGCGCATTGGCTTGGGAACCTGCTCGACGTTGGCAGAGATAGGCTCTTCGTCAAGTAGCATAGGGTCAATAACACACTTGAACATGTCGTGGCGGTCTGTATCCTCCTCAGCAGCATCCTCGCTGTGATCGGATACGTATTCTTCAGACAATTCTATTAATTCAGCCTCCTCGATTGTCCTCTTGGTGGACGAGACCCCGCGAGGTGGGACTTGCTCTAGGGCAAACCTTACGATGTCTGCTTGTTGGCTGTATGGCAATTGATTGAAAGATATTGGTGCCAGTGCTTCAGGCATTTCATCGTCCGAAGTTTCGGCAATCTGTACAACAGACTAAAACAAAATGTCAGTGTGCATCAGTTGAACTTCGATGTTTTGATGCCATGACTTACCTTCAGGCTTGCCTTAACCTTTCTGTTAGTTACAAGGGCAGGTTCCTCGAAATTGTTGTCTTCATCGTCAGCGTCAACGTCAGCATCAGCGTCAACGTCAGCATCAGCGTCGTCTCCACCTACATCTCCGTCTCCATCTTCGTCAATGTCGTTGTCACCATCTCTGTCCTCTTCCTCTTCCTCGTCACCCTCTGAAAATTCTGTCAAGGACAGAGGAGGGTCTTTTGTGAGTGAGACAGTGGTCGCTGCAGTTTGGCTTGTCTTCAAAGTGGTTGCTGACAAAACAGTGCCGTCTGAAAATTTGGATTCAGGTGTCGCAACAGGAGACGCTTTCGACTTCATCTCAGGTTTCACGAGATTGCGCCAGTTGTTGATCTTGCCTGTCAAGCTAAATTTTTTACCTCTGAGCGACCAAGTAAGTGTCATAAAATGTAGTGTAGATTCTGTGAGCATCAAGATCATGATGGTGAGAAGACAAATTAACTGACGGTACAGGATTTCCTTTCTTGTCACAATCAGGTGCCTTCCCATCAAGAATCTGTCTTGTTGCGGTACTGATTGCATCACGTATCAAGGAAGCCTTCTTCTTTGGCGGCCTTGCAGCAGCCTTGCTTCCAACCGCTTTACTCTTTCCCGCGCCTACACCACCACCATCTTGACTAATGTGATGATCACCTGTACCTTGACCCTTAGCCTCTGGTGCAGGCACAGGCAGACTCTCTGAGGTAAGATCACTGTCGGCACCTTTCCCATCTGTCTTTTTTTTGACTGGCCTAGCACAAGGCCTTACCGGCTTCACTTTTCCAGTCGCCTGAGTCGCCTGCTCCACCTCCATGGCAGCCTCAATACCAGCAATACGATCGATTTTGCTCTGCTGAGTGGCTTCCTGGGCAGCCTGTGCTTCCTGGGCACGCTGTTTGTCTTCCTTGATCTGGGCCTGGGTGCGTCGTTTTCTTTTACCTTCGAGGAGCACATGTCCAGGGTGCTGTGTTGCATTTTTGGTGCGTGTACGGCGAGGAGAGACGGGAGGTGCCATAGCGGATATGAAAGGCAGGCAAGGGATGCGGCAAAGGAGCACAATAAAAGGTCAGTAAGATTTAGTCGAATGTATGCTGCAAAATTTCCTAAACGCAAACAAACAACCCTGCAGTAGTACGACTCAATACGATTTTCCAAGTCCGCCTGCACTCGCTACCAGTAGGTGCGTCCACCTACACCACCGAATACCATCAACTCAAGTATCAAATAGCTGTTCTTTCGACTGCATCGCTTCAATACTGCCAGAACTGGTCCTGGCGATCCTTCCAGCTTCATCCTCTCAGTTCCCAATACCATCAACTGCCATCCCAGAACTGGTACTGGCTATCCTACCACCCATTCTCTCGCCTCCCAATACCATTAACTGCCGTCCCAGAACTGGTCCTGGCGATCCTACCACCCATTCTCTCACCTCCCAATACCATCAACTGCCGTTCCAGAACTGGTCCTGGTGATCCTTCCAGCTTCATTCTCTCAGCTCCCAATACCATCATCTGCCGTCCCAGAACTGGTACTGGCTATCCCTGTTTTTCCCTCGACTCCCAATACCATTAACTCAAACATCATGCCCCACCCACACCAAGTGCCCAGCGGTCTTAGCATCCCTTGCACAAAGCCAGGGTGCAATCGTTGGTTCAAGAATCGGTCTGGGTATACTCAGCATATGAATGCGAAGCACCCTGTCTTCTTACAACCACCTATGTTGATGCAACCATCTGTACCTCGTTCGGCAAGTCCAGCACAGGCGGGCCCTGACATCTTTGGTCATGGGGACATTGGCAGCGACTTTGGTGATGCTGGTCCCATAGACGACGAAGATCCTCTGCAATCAACAGCAGAGTTCTTTGGCGCTGGTGAACGATTGTTTAGAAATTACCATCCTCTTTTGTCTGGTAAGTTTTTGTCTTGTTTTATTTTTATTTTTATTGACATAATGCACTCAAAAGCTCGCCCTTGCGATGCTGAGGGTGTGTTCCTTCCACCAGGAACACCACCTCCACCACTCACAGAAAAGACACCGGACGACTGGACTCCCTACAAGAGCCATGTTGAGTTTGAGCTTGCCGACTACCTATTTACAAAGAACCAAACTCCCGCACATTCTATCGACCACCTCCTGAACATTTTGGCAGCTTCCTTAATCCAAGCCAGGAGCAAGGCCACCCTATTTCCAGATCATCGCGATGTCTACAGGACGATTGACAATACTCCCCTTGGCGATGTTAAGTGGCAATCTTTTTCGGTCAAGTATACAGGCGCAATTCCAGATGAAGGTGCCCCACCCTGGATGGCAGATTCTCATGATGTCTGGTTTCGTGATCCCCGCGATGTTGTTCGAAATATGCTTGCTAACCCAGACTTCACTGCGGAGATGGATCTCCAACCTTACCGTGAGTTCGCAACAGAGAACAATGAACACCAATGGCAGGACTTCATGTCTGGAGATTGGGGCTGGGCTCAAGCAGTACGTGTTTCATCATTTTATTGTGTGTGGTTTGACAAGCGCATCTATAGGACATCATATCTAAGGATGCTGACACACATGGCTCAACCTTTGTGCCGGTTATTCTTGGAAGTGACAAAACTACCGTTTCAGTTGCCACGGGACAAAATGACTACTACCCACTCTACGCCTCTATCGGCAATGTTCGGAATAATGTGCGTCGTGCTCATCGAAATGCTGTTGCGGTTGTAGCCTTCCTCGCAATGCCCAAAAGTAAGTGGTCGCTTATTTTATGTTCTATCCTCATTACATTTCTAACAGCAACCAAAGAGCATGCCGATACACCAGGCTTTCGAAATTTCCGATGCCAACTTTTCCATTCTTCACTCTCGTTTATCTCAAGAACCTCAAACCCGCTATGACAAAACCTGAAGTTGCACGCTTCGGAGATGGCATTATCGGTGTGTGGTCTATGGACTTGGGCCCTACATTGTAGACTATGAAGAACAGGTGCTGCTCGCCTGTATATTACGATATTGGTGCGCCAAGTAAGTTTTTCAATGAGCATTTTATATCTGTGCTTATACCAAGTAACTTGAAGGTGTCTTTCACCTCGTGGAAACCTTGATGCGATCAATTGCAATCGCACAAGAGCTCACGCAGATGCGCTAATTGAAGAGTATGATTCTGGAACCCTGCGGTTTGAGTACGGTTTAGTTGGTGAGCTTGTGGTACCTCGGTCACTCCGTTTCACTTGTACTTAGATTCACGCATTAACACAGCCATTTACCAACGATTTCCCCCGTGCTGATATCCATGAGCTACTTGCGCCTGACCTTCTCCATCAACTCATCAAGGGGGCATACAAAGATCATTTGGTCGACTGGGTAGAGAAATACCTCCTGCAGACGCATGGAAAGAGGCAAGCCAACATCATCTTGGATGATATTGACCGAAGGTGTGTTTTCTTTCTGCAATTTTCATTTAATCTTACTTTCATATTAGGATTGCAGCAGTTCCTCCATTTCCTGGACTGCGTAGATTTCCTCAAGGACGCCACTTCAAACAGTGGACTGGTGACGACTCAAAGGCGCTTATGAAGGTAATTTACATATTCTTCTACACGAGATATTGTAGCGCTAACCATGTGAAGGTTTACTTGCCTGCAATTGAAGGCTATGTCCCAACAGATGTTGTGCGTGTGTTCCGTGCATTACTTGAATTCTGTTACCTCATCCACCGCAATATCATCACTGAGAAGTCCCTCATTGAAATTCAAGATGCGCTCACTCGTTTTCACACATATTGTGAGGTTTTCAGGACCACTGGAGTGGTCCCCACCTTCTCGCTTCCCCGACAGCACTTGATGACTCACTATGTCTCCCTGATTCGACTATTTGGCGCTCCGAATGGCCTGTGCTCCTCAATCACGGAGTCGAAACACATCAAGGCTGTCAAAGAGCCATGGAGACGTTCCAGTCGGTACAAGGCACTAGGCCAGATGCTGCTAACTAATCAGCGTCTGGACAAGTTAGCGGCATCACGTGTGGATTTCTGTATTCGCGGGATGCTCTCAGGTACATGCTTATCCTCTGTTCTCACATCGCTTGGTAATTTTTTCTAATTTCTACCTTTAAATTTCAATGTTGACGTTTATCACTACTAGAACCACCAGCAGATGGACGACCCACTGTCCCCTCCACACAAGGCAGTGCAGAAGTGCTTGATGTTGACAAAGAAGAACCCAGCGCAGCGCGAAGCGCCAGTGTGCCTGACGCTGATGTCATTGCAGACTCTGAGGACATTGATGCACCAACTTCTGTCCTTGCACACATAGAACTCAGTCGAACATCTCGTGAGTCATTTTTTGCGCGTTCTGAAGTACTAGCTAATTACATACTAAATAGAAGGGAGAAAGCGGGCACAAAGTGTTCCTGCGCTAGCCAGCAAGCTTCACATCCCACACTTGGTTGATCTTGTCCGACAATTCCTCACCGAACAATTGTATCCGGACAAGGAACTCGCTGAAGTGCCTGTGAGCATCATGGACTGCCCTCACTTTGATGGGAGGATACGTGTTTTCAATTCCGCAGTATCAACATTCTTTGCACTGAGTGACTTGAGTGGGATTGGTGGGATGAAACACGAGTACATTCGTGTGTCCCCCAAATGGAGAAATGGACATCCATGCAAAGATTGTGTGTTTGTCATTACTGACCCAAATGCTCACGGAATGCGGGGCATGGATATCGCTCAGGTACTCACGTTTTTTTCCTTTCGACTTAGGGGTGTATACTATCCATGCGCTATTGTCCGCTGGTTCAACCGAGTTGGCGATGCACCCGACGGCGACACCGGAATGTGGATGGTGAAGTCTTCTTCCACTGGTGATCATGCATTTGCAGTGATCCATGTGGATACCATCTTCTGTTCTGCCCATCTCATTCCTGTCTATGGTACTGATCCGCTTCCCTCCGTGATTAAACCCCACCATGTCCTCGAGATCTTCACCCTCTTCTATGTCAACAAATATGCTGACCATCACACCTTCGAGATAGCGTGTTAGCACTTTCCAATGTGACCATCTTTTTCTGGTACCTTTCATGCTTTTTCCACGTCACTTACTTTAGGGATTCTCGCTCACTCAATTACAACTTTCACTTTTTCCCACTTTTTCACCTATTTTGTGCCTTTTACTTAATTCAATGGCATAAACTTTTCAAGTTCGAACAAATAGTGATGATTGTTAACGGGTTGTGCAAATAAGCGCGAAAGAAGTTAGAAAAGTAAACTCATGATTTACTGATGCAGCATGCTTACGAGCCAAGACCTCCTCCTTCTTGCCCTCCATAGCTCCTCCTCGACCGAAGCAGTCCTTTGCATTATGCCCCCAAACGTTGCAAGTAGTGCAGCAGGCAGAGTGGCCTGTGCGCCCACAGTCAGAACAAGTCTTTGTGGAGCGTGTGGCACCACCACTCTTATGTGTCGCGACCATAGCAACGTCGCCCGATTTGGACTTCTCGGAATCGATGAGTTGTTGTTCAACATTGAGCCGAGCACGAATGTTGTTAGGTCCATAGGATGCGCTAGGGTTGCTGGTGGTGATAGCGTCGGCGATATGGTTGCGGACGTGGGGGAAATCATCAGTGAGGGCATTAAGGAACATGATAGTGAGGAAGTCGTCTGTTAAGACCGTACTCAAGTAGTATCGGATCCGAAGGGCTTCGGCCTCAGCTCGTGCGCTGTGCCCCTTTCCCGAGTCTTGCCCCTTATTTCAGAGTGCTAGAGTATCGTGTATATTGAGACGGATAAGTCTCGTAATGGATCCGTTAAGGCTTCCGGATATTGAACGTATATAGTAACGGCTAATTCAGATCAGATCGGAACTAGAAACTAACGGGCGAGGACTGTCTGAAGACAGAGACGGATATATAGACTATAGGAATCAATCCTAAGTCTTGGAGTAGACAAGAGTATCGTACTCAAGTCCGGACGGATAACGGAGGGACTTAGAGTCCAGGCAGAATGAGTGCAATCTAGGATGATATTTGAACTGATCTACTACAGCGCATGTACAAGGGTTTATATACTACGGATAACTAACGGAATGATCAATAAGCAAGGACGCGAGGCTATGTACGAAGTATAAGCAAAGTATGTGTACAGCATATTGGTAAGTCGGATGGATAACAAATCATAACCGGGAATGAAGTCTAAGCTAAAGCGGATCAGTAAGTGTAGTGGATCAGTAAGCATAACAGAAGTAAAGGATAACCGGTATACCGGTGTACAGGAATGCCGAAAGGAGATGAACGATAGTTAGAGTTATATGAACAGGACATGAAATAAGAATCAGATCGGATCTGTGGACCGGACGACGGATATGTCCATCGGATCTGGATCGGATCTGAGATCCGGATCTTCGGATCTGTACCCGGGAATATGGTATATGACATCGTCCTCCTTAGGCAGGCCAATAGTGTAGATACGCCTGATGAGATCAGAGAGTTGCATACCTGTGGCAGAAAGGTGTTCGGTACGACGGAAACGCATGGTGAGCGCCTGCTGAATCAGAAGGATTTGTGCAATGGGTCCCACCTTCTCGTGACGAGCCTTCAGCTCAGTCCAAGCAGTGTATTCATTGGTGAAGGGGCACAAGAATTCGCCCTCCTCCGGAGTGGAATGGGTGTGGAGTGCAGCAATGATGCAAAGGTTGTTAAGGTCCCAGGTACCTGCGCCAGTAGGATGAACGAGAGGGTCAGGACGCTGAATAATACCCAGGAGGTAACTGCCGCTATGTTTGAGCAGGAGGTAGTTCTGAATTTTATCGGACCATGTACCCCAGTTATTCTTACTGCGATTGAGGACTTCAATCTTCTCGAGATCAGTCTGGCTTAAGGTTACAACAGTGACAGAAGATATCATGGAAGACATGGTGGCCCCTGCTTGAGCTGGTACCTGAGGGGATATGCCAACACTCTGAGGCATTAGAGCGGCAGAGCCCGAGGTGACTTGAGATTTGGACCGTGTATGGAGTTTAGGTGGCATAGCACACTATATGGTGCGGGAGAAAGAAGCGATGCGGGGAAAAACACAATGTACCACCTATATATATAGGGATGGGCTCGTGTGCTCTGTCACGGTGCTTCTCGCCCAAAGGGGAAGTAGGAACGACATTCGTAGACGTTGTCCTAAAAAAATAAAATGTGTAATAACGCTGCACGCCGAGTGTGTGTGTATGTTACGATGAGCTTTACTGAGGTCCAATGATGTCCAGGTGGTTTCTGTGCTCTCGATTATGAGGGCACAGGGCTCATAACCTGTTCCATCTAGACAATGTTATTAGTTAGTGCCTCAGCTTGTGGTAACGGACTGTATTGTCAATGTACCTAGACAATGTTATTAGTTAGCGCTAATAGCGAACATTAGATCTAGGTATGCAATGAGGCGAGATAAATAACATACCCTCAGCTCGTGGTAATGGACTGAGGGATGAATGTACAGTAGAGAGAAATATATATGATGGTTTGAATACCAACGCTCAACTCCGATTATCGTCGTGCCACATCGATCACGTGCATGTGACATGCGCCAACACGCAGCTGCACAGGAACATCTGGACTTCCCAACTCCTCATGTGGGACATCGCATTTTGGGCACTCTCCGGACTTGTTCCCAGTTGTCAGCAACTGTTCGGGGTAATCGGCAGAATAACAAGCGACAATAGGATGTCCTCGATGCACAACTCCATCCCCGCTAGCCATAGCAACATCATCCTCGCCTGGGACTTTCAGAGGCTCCAGAATGTGACACAAACAAGCATGAAACAAATTAGTTGCGGTTCAGTGCCTAGCGGCCTTGTTTGTGATATGATTGAGTTTTGAGGTTGGTAGATAGGCAAGCAGAATCCACGCTCGTCGAGAGGGCTTTTGACAGATCTCCTTCGGAATGTTGCCTATTGTCATATTGACAGGATAGGCGGATTTGTTTCTAAACATAGTGACCTGCATCTTGTCAGAGGAAAGGATGATGGGTATAACTATTGCGCCAGGTTTCTTGGCTTCGAGTTCTTTCTAAATGATATTGTGGTAAGTTCAACACGAATCAAACAGATTTTTCAATGACTTGCCTGTGTGGACCACCACCACTTTCCTGTATGGATATCATGATACATTCAGATAGTTTTGTCGGCATCAACATAATGGCATTTGGGAGCATAGTTGAGATGTTGCGAGAATTCTGGATCTGAATAAAGGGCTTTGACGCACTCCATGACATTGCGAGAGTACACATCAAAAGCCTCATCTGTGACAATGATTTCTTCATGTTTGAAATGAGGTCGTCTGCATGGTAAGTGTTGGTCGATAATTTGATTGAGTTCACGGGTGTTCTGATATGAAAGACCTAAGGCATCATGAATCTATACAAACATAGTTAAAATGTTGGCTCATTCATGACCCAAGAAAATGAAAACTCACCCCTTCAACTGCAAGCAGCTCTGAAAAAGCGGTTGAGCCAGAACTGCGAAGTTTTGCCCACTTTGCAACCTCATAATCTATGCGAGACACAAAGGGAGCCCAAAATTGTCTGCACCTTGCAGAACATTGTTATAAGACTCAAAAGCTGTAGTGCCAGAGATAAGTATTGGAGCACCTGCATGGCGCCGCGGAAATTTTGCGATAGTGGGCTGGTGACCAAGGGGCTTCTCCACTTCTTGTCGTTCGGCTGCATGTGGTTGTGACAATGCATCCGACTCCTCAAAATCATCCACATCAATATCCTGCAGTACAGGATCTGCAGGGCATTCCCACCCATGCTCAACCTCTGCATCATGATCCTCTTCCTCCTCTCTGTCAGAATCCAAAGGAGGCTCCGCAGCTTCGTCGTTATTATCTGGCCATGTCAGATCTTGTTCATCATAGTGGCCAAAATAGTCTCCTGTAAATTCGGTTAGATGATGAGAATCTAAATTGTCAGAATCTTCATCCTCTGACTGAGAAAAAAGACCAGAATGTTGTAATAGGGCTGCGCATGAGGGATTCGTGGTCTTGCCTAGGTGTCGGAAATATCCACCATGCTCAAAGTCTTTAGCGCAACCTGGGCAAGTGTTCATTCTGATGGTAAAGAAACAAGTGGTAGGTAGAGGTGGTAGGTAGGAATGCAGCACGGGGTGAATAGTTTGGGATCTGTGTGGTTCTGAAGATGTTCCTATTGAACATTAAGAACAGGTTAGATTAGGTTAGATTACAACAGCACAGCAACAAACAAACTTACTGCGCTGACACAACGAGCCTTCCTTGAGAGGGGAGCAGCTTGAATGCAGTGCAGGGTGAATAGTTTGGGATCTGTGTGGTTCTGAAGACGTTCCTGTTGAAAATTAACAGAACAGGTTAGATTACGACAGTACAGCAACAAACAAACTTACTGTGCTGACACGACGAGCCTTCCCTGAGAAGGGAGCACAATGCAGCGTGGGGTGAATAGTTTGGGATCCGTGTGGTTCTGCAGCTTGAATGCAGTGCAGGGTGAATAGTTTGGGATTGCTTGAATTTCCCAACTTCAGCTGAGGCAATTGCCAAAATGCAGCACGGGGTGAATAGTTTGGGAGGGATCACTTGAATTTCCCAACTTCAGCTGAGGCAATTGAATGCAGTGTGGGGTGAATAGTTTGAGACATTCCTGTTGAACATCAACAGAACATGTTAGATTGCAAAGAAAAATGACAATGACGCTACTGCACAGCAACAAACAAAGTGACTTACAAACTTGAAAATGATGGTGGCGCACTGGGTGGCACACTGTGAACCTGCCAGTAATTTTTCAGAACTCCCTCAGCCTTTCTCTTCCCAACTTCAGCTGAGGCAAATACCAGTATGCCTCCCCGTCCATCTTCGACACCATCAGAGATAGCCACCCACAAGCAGAACACCAAAAAAAAGGCCCAGGCAAGTCAAATGTCTGCTGGTGAAAAAACTGGCAATACCATGACAGAAGAGAGTGAGTACATACATAGGGCAAGACAAATGTGATGGACTCACCATCATCACCAAGAACCACTGCAGCAGTCATCCAAAGTGAAGGCCTTAGAGCAGAAAGGTTGGCATATGCATGGTTGTGCATTATGGGAGAAAGTGGTTACTGACATACCTTATTTCAGTCTGGAATGAGATGACAGCCAATACTCGTAAGTGTGCCCCCACAGCAACTGCACTACAATCAGTACCGGCAGCCAAGTTAGTGTGGAAGACACCTGCAGAAAAGTTAGACAAGGGTTAGTTGCTTAGTACTACCAGAAACAGATCAGTCTGAGACATACTCAACAGCGGTGTGGGAAACACAACAAGAAGAGAACTCTGTAAAGTACTCTTCAAATGTTGGGTCAAAATTGCTATGCCTAGCTGCTATTTGACCCTAAAGGATTTCTGTACTAGACTCAGAGCTCAGAGAGTAGAAATATCATCAAGCAAAGGACTGTGATTCAGACTGGTACTGACACTGGTGAAAGGGAGACATGATTATGTAAGCAGTAAAAATGCGAACATAAACTAAGGAAAGTGGGTAAGTGAAGGTAAGTAAAAAGGGGGAATATCAGCCCAGGGAAAACTATATTGTCACAGCGGATCAAAAACATCCAAGTCAATGGTCACGGCCAAGGTCAAAGTCAAAGCAGCAATGAGAAAACCTGCAAGCTGAAGTCAGTCACGGTGTCAATTGAAGATAATGACACCGTTAGTGAATACGGAGACAGTGATCATGACTCTGAAAAATTGGATGATAACATGGAGGTTCTGGAAGATGGCGATTTGGACTTACTCTCCCAGGAGGAATTGATCAAAGAGGTGAGTTGTAGTTACCTCATTGAGAATGATGAGAAAAAATGACGCTGACCTGACTCTTCAAAATTGAAGATTCCCCATTTTATACCTCCTCACACAGCTAGATCTGCTAGTGCACAATCCAGCAATGTATCCAAATCATGGTCGTCGGTGTCGTCGACTCAGATGGCCTCTAGTGGTGTTTCTGTGACTGATGTCGCTGATGAGTCTAACTCAGAGATGCAGTTTGCTGACAAAGACTGTGAAGAGTCTGACATCGTGACTCAGGCTGGTCAGCGTTCCAAGTCTTATTACCACGAGCCTTCATTAACAGCCACCAACTTGAAACCCCAACCAGGCAAGAAGAAAAGCAGCAAGCTAGCAGAAGCACGCCAAGAACTTGAGGTGATGTGTTCTACTATACACTCCCATCATTCTGTCTCACATGATCATACCATTTTCAATTTTCTAGAGGCCCTGCTGACCTCCAAGTTGGATGATAAGGACTCATCTGAACATCCCTTTACATGGCCTGCATTCACAGATCTAGTCTACTCAGCAGACAGCTCTATCAACCTCAAGGCTCAGAACACTCGGATTCAGAAGGTGTTGAAGACCACTGTCTTAGAACTCAAGAAAGCCTCTATCTTCAACAATGGATTTCCCAACATCACTCAGAAGCGAAAGATGGTCTCTCGAAGCAGTTCATAACGCTGCTGGGAAGCATAAGGAATACGCGATATTAAAGAGGGTCAAGCATGACTTTGATTATGCAGTGGCTCTGGCCGGAGTTGTATGTACACTTCTTGTATGTTACTTGGACATGACTCATATGCTTACAAGCCGGAGGGCCGGCTAGCTCCTTCCATACCAATCTCAAGAAACTCGCACATCAGATTGTGGTTTCTCATTTTGCGCTCAAGAAAGGCTGCGCTGAGGAGGTAGAAGACCTTATCAAGAGTCACAAGTATATTTTTCCAACCGACGCCAAGGTCTGTTGAGTTTCTGTCTCTTTGTTAGTCTTATTCTCATCCACTACCCAGGGTAAGGTCCTTGGGGACCAATTGTTTTGTGACGAGTCTATGACTGACACCATGCAATTATCATTTTTCGATGGCGAGGACTCAATTGGTGTCCAGTCCTGCGAGGATTTTGTTTCTGTCTTGGATGGAAATGATGAGCCGGAGCTACCTGTTGCCATGGTGTGTTTGATTGCAACTCTTGTAGGTGCTGGTCAATAATGTTTATTCTGTATGCTCACTACATAATGTTCTCCACAGATTTACTCAATATTGAAGGATTGGAGCAGCGGGAACCCACCCTTGAGCACACAAGTCAAATCGTTTAATTCCTCCTTCCACATCAGTGTTTACAAGGCTCACCAAGCGACTCTCATGCGCATATTTGATGGCAGTCAAAAAGAAGTACCATGTACTGATGGCGCATCTCTACAAGGCAGTCAGGTATGTCTTGCTTGTGCACTATTTGTCATGCACTCTAACAAATTCAACATTAGCGCAGTAGAGAGCTCAGAGCCTGCTGGTTCATTGGACACCTGTGATTACCTTGATCTCGACGCAATGGGTGAAGATTAATCTCGAGTCAGTCGCTTCTATCTTTATACATACTGGTGCTTTGTTCGAGTCCGCTGATCTTTTTGACATCTTTCGATGGTGGTATTTCTGTTTGATACAATGTACATAATTGATATTCGTGTACCTTGAATTCAAGATAATTTATGATAATCAATGGAAAACGATGGAAAATTCAAAGTAATTCAAAGGAATTCCGACTGGAGTAGGAAAATCTCGTTTACTTATATTTCAATGGAATTACAAGGAATTCCCTGAAATTCGCTGGAATTACCTTGATTTCGTGAAGGAGGTTTTCCCTGATGTTGGTGAGTTGGCGACCACAGGATTGTGCTCATCTTGACATGGGAGCCACAAAGTGGTTGACGAGGATGTGGCCGGAGCAGGATGGTGATCGAAAGTGGATGATGCTAACGAACTGGAAGAGGAGGAGGACATTGGCGCCGGTTGGTTCATGGGTGGCCGCCAGTATAGTTCAGCAGTTGTAGAGGCGATGTAACTCATTGTGTTTTTCTTTGGCGACAATTCTCCCATGTGTGTTTGTAGTTTTTGTCTTGAAAAAAGGCAGGATCAGTACATTATGCGACTGTACCACAGATACTCACAAATATTTGTCGTAGTGAGCCTGCATATGTGGCATAAACTCATACTCATCTAACTCAGGCTTAGCAACATATTCCATTATAGATTGGTGAATCCCTCCTGTGATCCTGGAATAATCCTCTGTAGTAAATTGAAGTACATTTTTAGTCTTTGATAGTCGACCTTCCAATGCACAGCAAATGACACACATGATCTAGTAGTAGATAGCATTAGTCCTACTCTGAGTTGATGAAATCAAGCGACTTTACTTACCACAGCGCTGGTTAGCGCATACATAATCCACGAGATGTGTGTGATCAGTACTCTTGACTGCGGGTGTCATATACCATATTCCCGGGTACAATCCGAAGATCCGGATCTCAGATCCGATCCAGATCCGATGGACATATCCGTCGTCCGGTCCACAGATCCGATCTGATTCTTATTTCATGTCCTGTTCATATAACTCTAACTATCGTTCATCTCCTTTCGGCATTCCTGTACACCGGTATACCGGTTATCCTTTACTTCCGTTATGCTTACTGATCCACTACACTTACTGATCTGCTTTAACTTATACTTCATTCCCAGTTCATGATTTGTTATCCATCCGACTTACCAATACGCTGTACACATACTTTGCTTATACTTCGTACATAGCCTTGCGCCTTTGCTTATTGATCATTCCGTTAGTTATCCATAGTATATAAACCCTTGTACATGCGCTGTACTGTAGAGTGCTGTGACGAAGCTAAGTGCGTATCTCTACAGTAGTAGATCAGTTCGAATATCAACTTAGATTGCACTCATTCCATCTGGACTCTAAGTCCCTCCGTTATCCGTCCGGACTTGAGTACGATACTCTTGTCTACTCTGAGACTTAAGATTGATTCCTATAGTCTATATATCCGTCTCTGTCTCCAGACAGTCCTCGCCTGTTAGTTTCTAGTTTGGATCCGATCCAGATTAGCCGTTACTCTATATGTTCGATATCCGGAAGCCTTAATGGATCCATTATGATACTTATCCGTCTCACTAGATGTGATACTGTAGCACTCTGAAATAAGGGGCAAGACTCGGGAAAGGGGCACAGCGCACGAGCTGAGGCCAAAGCCCTTCGGATCCGATACTACTTGAGTATGGTCTTAACAGTATATTCGAACTCATACCTTTCCGAGTTACTTACACCTATCATGCCTCCAACCAAGACACAAACAACTCTGCATGCGGTCGGACTTACCTCCCTCCGTCGTGATCCGACACCCATAATCAACACCTTCACCAGTTTCTCTCAGTGACGCATTAGTCGCGGACCCGCTCAAACCATATCCAAACTCCTTAATCGTCGACACTGTTAAGACCGTACTCAAGTAGTATCGGATCCAAAGGGCTTCGGCCTCAGCTCGTGCGCTGTGCCCCTTTCCCTGAGTCTTGCCCCTTATTTCAGAGAGCTAAAGTATCACGTCTAGTGAGACGGATAAGTATTGTAACGGATAAGTCTTGTATCGCAACGGATAAGTATTGCAACGGATCCGTTAAGACTTCCGGATATCGAACGTATAGAGTAACGGCTAATCCGGATCGGATCCGGACTAGAAACTAACGGGTGAGGACTGTCTGAAGACAGAGGCGGATATGTAGACTATAGGAATCTATCCTAAGTCTCGGAATAGACAAGAGTAGCGTACTCAAGTCCGGACGGATAACGGAGGGACTTAGAGTCCAGACGGAATGAGTGCAATCTAAGATGACATTCGAACTGATCTACTACAGCGCATATACAAAGGTTTATATACTACGGATAGCTAACGGAATGATCAATAAGCAAAGGTGCGAGGCTATGTACGAAAGTATAAGCAAAGTCTAAGTGGAGCGTATTGGTAAGTCGGATGGATCACGAATCATGAACTGGGAATGAAGTACAAGTAAAGCGGATTCGTAAGTGTAGCGGATCAGTAAGCATAGCGGATCAGTAAGCAAAGCGGAAGTAAAGGATAACCGGTATACCGGTGTACAGGAATACCGAAAGGAGATGAACGATAGTTAGAGTTATACAGTGGCTCAAAAAACCGTCCGTATATTTTGGCATTTTTCACTATCTATAATATTGTGTGAGAACAAACAAATGCCTCAAAAACATGCTTATACCACATTGTAGTATGGCTTCAGGGCTTTCATTTGAGCCCTACACCGTGGGAATCGGTGGAGATATGGTGGAGATACAAGGCTCACAAAATGGTGACTCATGCGGACAGTTTTTTGACTCAAGTATTTTACAGTAATAACCAGGTATTCTAGTATTTTGTATGACCTCCCTTGGCTTTAATTACTGCCTCTATCCTTCTAGGCATACTCTCAATTAATTTCTGGCAATCCTCAGCTGTGATCTTCCCCCATTCCACTGCTACTCTCTCCCAAAGCTCCCATACTCCTTTAGGGGGGTTTTCATAGGCTTGAAGCTTTTTCTTGAGTGTTCCCCAGAGATGTTCAATGACATTGACATCAGGAGACTGTGCTGGCCAGTCAAGAACATTGATGTTATGTTCTTCAAACCATTCCCTAGCTCTTCTGGATGTGTGCTTGGGATCATTATCCTGTTGGAAAATGATATCTTCTTCATCAATCCCTGATTCTGCCAAGCTAGGCAGCAAGTGGTCATTTAAAATGTCCACATACTGCTCAGCATTCATCTTCCCCTCAACCTCAGCAAGCATTCCCACACCATTCCATCCCATACAGCCCCATACCATTAAAGAACCTCCTCCAAACTTGACAGTCCCATTAACCTCTCTGTCTGTTAGGCCATCTCCCTTCTTTTTCCATACATACACCTTCCCATCTGACCCAATCCTATTGATTTTGGTCTCATCTGACCATATAACATGCTTCCAGTCCTCTACAGTCCAGTGTTGATGAGCTAAGGCAAAGGCTAGTCTTCTCTGCCTATGTTTGATGGAGAGAAGAGGCTTTTTCTTCTTTGTTACTGCCTTGAGATGAGCTGCCTTGAGAACATTCCTCACAGTTTGTGAAGAGACAGGGGTAGTGATGGTGGAATTGATATAATGGGTGGCTTGGACAGCATTATCAGCCTTTCCTGTAGTGATATGTTGGATAATAGCCCTTTTGTCAGTAGAGGTAAGCTTGGATGGACGTCCTCCACAAGAGTTTTCCTTGTCTGGGTGGCTTTCTTTGATGAACTTGGCCACAGTGGACTTGCATATTCCAGTTCTAGAGGAAATTTGGCGAGCAGAGAGGCCAGCATAAGACAGAGAGAGGATATTATCTCTTTGAGCAGAGGAGATGGCTTTCATGGTGATTATGACTATGATACATGAGATATTCTGGTTTATATAGTTAGATATAGTCATAAAATAACATAATGACACCACTTTATAATTTATATAATAGTGGCATGATTTTTATGGTGTCATAAATAATGATTTATATAGTTTTAATATACACTCAAAAAACTGTCCACATGAGTCATCATTTTATAAGCCTTATATCTCCACCATATCTCCGCCGATTCCCACGGTGTAGGGCTCAAATAAAAGCCCTGAAGCCATACTACAATGTGGTATAAGTATGTCCTTGAGGAATTTGTTCATTCTCACACAATATCATAGATAGTGAAAAATGTCAAAACATGCGGACAGTTTTTTGAGCCACTGTAGGTAGGATGAGTCCGCAGGGTATATGAGCAGGTCCGCCCATCGGGTGGTGTCAGGGATGGCGGGTTGCGTCGGGGATGGCCAGGGGTGAGTTGCATGACATGGGGTATGGTCGGGAGTCGTATACTAGCTTCATACAAGCCTAGCGAAAATATAGTTGTCACACTGCTCCGGTTATAACAATATCTGAATTCACCCAGATGATAGATGGAAAGCCACATGTACCACTGAATTTGGACTCTATGAACCAAATGTCATGTTCTTCGGTCTCTGCAATTCCCCAGCCACGTTCCAAGCCTATATGAACCGTACCTTCCAACAAGAGATCAACGAAGGATGGTTAGTAATATATATGGACAATATTCTTATCTTCTCCAACGACCTTGATGAACACCATGAACGGACACGCCATATCTTGACTAAGATATGGACAGAAAAACTCTTCCTAAAACCAGAAAAATGTACGTTTGATGCACCAGAAGTAGAATACCTCGGTATGATTATCCGCCCGGGATGTATCACCATGGACATTGCCAAAAACAGATGGAATACGCGACTGGCCAATCCCAACTACCGTTAAAGAAACCAGATCATTCCTTGGCTTCTGCAACTTCTATCGAAACTTCATTCCCCATTACTCCGACATTGCACAACCCCTTATTGATCTGACAAAGAAAGATAATGTATTTCTTTGGTCTACACTAGTGTTGCCGTAGCTCCAGCTTTTGCCAGTTCCTGGCTGAAGACTGTTACCAGCTACAGCCAAGCCTGACAAAGCCAAGCCTGGGAAAAAGCTGGCCCCACATGTGGCAGCTTGAGCTGCAGCTCTGGCTTGTGAGCCGGTGTGACAATATAGTTTTCCCTGGGCTGATATTCCTCCTTTTACTTACCTTCACTTACCCACTTTCCTTAGTTTATGTTCGCATTTTTACTGCTTACATAATCATGTCTCCCTTTCACCAGTGTCAGTACCAGTCTGAATCACAGTCTTTTGCTTGATGATATTTCTACTCTCTGAGCTCTGAGTCTAGTACAGAAATCCTTTAGGGTCGAATAGCAGCTAGGCATAGCAATTTTGACCCAACATTTGAAGAGTACTTTACAGAGTTCTCTTCTTGTTGTGTTTCCCACACCGGCTACATAGAAACTCGTGTACATATGATGACATCTCTGTATGGAGGAGACGCTAGGAATTTCCATCGCCCATTGCCATTTACACTATCAAGCCATGTTAATTATCACAGTCCCTCACTATCAAGTTCAGTCTCTCCCCCCAGCTCTAGCCATACAAGAACTCTGTCAACAATACCGCAGAGCGTTGTACCACCACCGGCAGTCAAAAACAAGATTATTTCTGCACCACCTGCACCTGACAATGGTCATTTACCTAGTCCTGAAACCGTCATATCTGCCCCTAAGTCACCCCCAGCAAATCAGACCATCTATGATGATGAGGAACGATTGGGTGGGGGACCACATCATTGTTCTATTTTCTCTGCTGACTTTTACGTATGTAGCTAAATGCAAGAATCTTATAGAAATCATCCAAGGTGATGATCGGGTGAGTCAATTTAGTGAAATGGTGTTCAGACTCCTGATTAATGACACATCATACAGGAGGAGGAAACCGTATTCACCGGAATCACAGATGATGAACATGCATATATCATGCAGTTCATTGAAGAAGATGATGAGACTCAAGGAAGGTGGGTGTGTTGATGTAATATCTTGCTATACCTAACACAATTTCCTAGATTTGTTTATCACCCAGACTCGGAGACGTTCATAGTGACACTGCCAAGCCAGGCTCACGAGCAACCCATCACACAAATCAACTTCGCTTTTCAAACGGCTATTACATCAATCGGCCATGACAACGCACTTGTCCAAGTCCACGCGCATACAAACAGCCGCTTTTTGGGTGACAGTATCCACGCGGACCCTGATATTCACATCATCTGCACACCATTCGTTGATATTGGGGTACCGAACAAGTCTATCTCCCTCTGGATTTTGGAGAACTGCTTGTCCCAGATGGAAAGCACAGGTCGAGACAAGATACGTCGCATCATCACCGATGAAAGTGGGATCCTATTGGCTTCACTCATCAACATGATCGAAGCATACTGATACGCTAATCCAGACCCGGGCAGTGAGATTGCACAGCATTTGTGATTGAAACCAGTGATGTCTTTTGAAGATTGGACACCCCTGAGGACGCGATCCAACCAGTTTGGCCCTGTCATATCTGAGGGGCACAGCTGGGTTGAACTCTTGAAGATCGAGTTTCATACATGGATTCGCCCAGAAGACAGTACAATCGATCTTGAGAATGATGACCCTTCCGTGTATTCTAAAGGGGTGAGTGATGACTTGTTCACATTTTCACCTTGCCTGAGCACGCATTCGCAGAGTCTGTTCCCCATTGAGAACACCAAAGATATGGATGCAATGGTCGGTCAAGGCATAGCAAAGATACAAGACGTAATACTCCACTACCTCATCTTACTCGATCCAGAAGGCGACCATGATGATGTATGTCAATGGACTCCACCTGCAAAGGTGATCAGATGGAAGGAGATCAAGGCGTCATTAGTAACCACAGTGTGGGCAACTGCATATAACCGCTATAAGCTCTGGCACCATAGTCTCCTGAAGCGCAAGGCAGAAGGGGCTGATGATAGGTCAACAAAGAAGGCGCGTGTTTGAGTGTAAGTTCTCCTTTTCTCAAAGATAATTAATATCTGACTCATAGCCTTGCACAGCTGTGTGATCCAAGCTTCTTGAGTGATGTCTATTGATCCATGCCTCATTCATCTATCATTTTATATCTGCTTTCCCTAGCTCATGTAATCAAGCTTTCATGTACTTTCTCGCGTATAATGAATCATGTTGTGTTGTTGAATGCTTGTATATAAACTGAAGTTCTGGACTTAAAGCTTATAGCGCTCTTCAGAGCCTTCACTTTGTTGCATGCATCATCCTCGTAGGGAACGGTGCCCAGCGGGCAGCATTGTACCTAAGCCCACATGGGTGCCACCTGCATCTCAGGATGCACCCACACTCAACATCAACATCAACCAGGCTGATGACTTGGAATCGTTTAACCTTGATGTATCTGAATCCAGTGACGACACTGACCCAGCACCTCCAGTACATAAAGCCAACAAGAAGACGAAGAAAGGGCTGGCACCCGCCAGCATACCTCTGGATTTTGATGCACCACCAGATCCTCTCCTTCAAATGCAGGCATCTCAAAAAACTGCAACATCCGATGACGTTAACTATTTCTTTCGAAAGCAAAAGGACAAAGACACTATTTGTGTCATTTGCGAGTAAGTCTCTGCTAGTGTACACTATTGATTCATCTAACTAACTATTCACATTTCTAGGGCTGAGCGAAAGCCAGATCCAGCTACATGGGACGGGAGCCATGGAAAACGAAAATGGGAATACTCGAGCAATACTGGGAATACACCATTGCATAGGACATGTCAAGAGGTTTCATTTGCTCCTCTATCTCATTCTGGCAGAAGAACGCGGGTGGTCCATCTTTGTCATAAGCGTCAAACTGGCCTTTGAAATGGGATACACACTAGCTGAAATGTGTAAAGTTGTCGAGGGAGGCGCCAAACTATCTAACCTTCCCAAGTGCGCAGCTGGAGCCAGTAGCACTACCTTAGCTGGCCCCTGTGATAGAGGCTCAATCCCAGAGTTCATGCACACCACCTTCCTTCAACACCTCATATCTTTCATTGTTGCTGATGATCAGGCAAGCCCTTGCACAATTTCATTATTTCTTACTGACATCAGTCAACAGTCCATCAATGTTATTGAGTGTCTTGAATTTTGATGCCTCCTTTTACTTCTCTGCCAAGAACTTTGAGATAAAGATATTCCTCACCGTACCAAGATCCGCGCAGAAATAATCAAGGCCTGGCAAGAGTATTTTGTGACTCTGAAAGACGATATGGCTGTACATATTTTTTTATCTCCATAATCTACAGATTCTCATCATACTTAGAATGCAGGTTGGGACGATCTCGCTCACTGCTGACATCTGGTCGTCACAGGCTCTAGGCACATATTTAGCAATGACAGCTCATTGGATTGCAGAGAACCAGAAGTTTGAGCGCTTGAGCTGAAGGCAGCGCTGATCGCATTTCGCCAGATCAAAGGGAATCACACCGGAAAGTACCTAGCAAAGACAATGTTGTATTTACTTGATTGTGCAGATATCACTGTGAAGGTGTGTGGTGACCTGTTCAAATACTGACTTTCACTTACATTAATTCAGGTTGGACATTTCACCATGGACAATGCAGGGCAACAATGCAACGTGTATGGAAGAACTTGCCAAACTGCTGGAACAACGCGACATCGCTTTTGACCCACTTGACAGGCGGGTCATGTGTTTCCCCCACATTATGAATATATGTGTACAGCACGTCGCTGATCATTTCACTAACTTCATTGTTGCTGCACAAGAAGTCTCATGGGCATGGGATGCAACCATTGATGGCCTTGTGATGGATAAAAAAAACTTACCTTGCAGCTATCACAAGAAACCCAGTTGCGCTGGGCCGGTCTGCCATCAAAGCGATCTGAGTATCTGGACTGCATCACAATCAATTCATGGAGGTCGTCAAAACCGGAAACGCCAAGCAATGGTTCAAATCCCCTTCGAATGAGCTGGTAATGGTTCCTGAGGTTGAACTTCTTCATGATGTCTGCACGAGATGGGACTCAACATATTTCATGATTAATCGCTTGCGAGCAATGCGTCCAGTAAGTCTAATACTTGTCATTTTCACTTGTGCTATACATTCCTGTGTCAGGCCATAGACTTCTTCCTTAGCACGCCTAATCAGCAGGACATTTCTGGTCATAAGATGACTGACTCAGATTGGCAAGTTCTTGAAGACCTTGAAAAGATTCTAGATGTATGTATACAACATCCACCCTTCATTATCTTTAATTTAATTCTGTTTGCTACTAAATTACAGGTACCTCATAGAGTGCAGCAGCGCATGTCGTCTGAGTCGCATGCCCATGTTGGGTAGTGCGGTTCCCTGCTTCGAGCTTTTCATGATGGCATGGGAATCCCTGGCCACAAGAATTCCCCAACTTCGTCCCTCTATCAATGTCGGCTTGGACTGGGCTAAATCATACTACGTTTGCATGGACCTGACAGACTCGTATGTTATAGGAATGTGTAAGTTCTTCTATTTTCATTTTTGACAATAACTACTAATTGAAATGCTTACAAGTGATCGATCTGTCAGTTAGACTCACGTGGATCAGGGACTATTGGGAGGATGATTGGATTATGCGCACTGAAAGTATAATACTGCAACCTCGTAAGTACTAATTGACCATCTGATGGCTCTCTAAGCTTTTATGCTAATCTGATTGTGTAGATGGTAGAATACAGAAACCAAATCTCACCTGAGGCTTCCCAGCAGTCAAATACCGCTCGCACCTCCAAGGTTGATACAATCAACTCAACTTGCTCAACTCTATGGCCTTGGAGATATGGGCGTGAAGCGTCCGCAGCAGTCTCAAGGCCTGCAGACTATTGAGCAAGAGTATCAATCTTATGTTAATGGTGACCTTTGGGACTGAAGGCATTGACATGCTCAAATTCTGGGAGGTAGGTCACACCTGTCTTATTCTTTCAACTGCAGTACTAATGGTCCCTGCTTTTGATAGATGAAGCGGAAGACTGTACCCAACAGTTATTCGCAATTGCCATGGACTATTTGCCTGTTCAGGCTTCTGCAGTCCCATGTGAACGAGTTTTCTCATCAGAGCGCAGAAACTGACACAAAAAAACGGAACCGAATCAGTGAGACCTTGATGGAGGCTTTACAGATGTTAAAGTACGGCCTGAAAAAGAACGGCTCAATTTCACTCAACAGTTCATAATATCACAGCACACCTTTCCTGGCGAATGATCCTGACGAGCCAAATGGAGCGCAATCAAATGAATCTCAGGATCCTACTGATGATATACTAGCTACTATCGCATCAGAAGAGACCCGTGATGTGCTAGACAAAGTTTATATTTTTCCACAGCCTTCATCTTTGACTGGTTAGAGGCTAGAGACTACCTACAGCATTCTGAACTGTGATCTGCATACTACTATGTTGATTTTTGACTGAATTTACCTGAACATTGTGGCACGTGTCCTCGCTGACGAATCAGTAACCCTCATATCTGTCCTTGTTCGTGTTTCTGTTCTGTTGTCTTCACATTGCAGGATGCACACTGGAGCACCACTCAGCACTGAAACCACTCACCAACGGAGCTCGGTGGGCTCATGTGTCGCCATTTTGCGTCCAACGTGAGTTTTTCATTTTATTTTTTCAAACACGCCCCTCCCCCATGATGCCTTGGTTTGGCCGTTTCTCCCCAAAGGCCGATTGGTGGAAAACAAGCTGTTCGTAAGTATATCAATTTGGGTTCTTAGTTTCATGCCAATCTCACTTCTCTTTAGTCAATCTTCCTCGCTCTTGTGCTTTGTGTTCCCCTCACCCATCAGATCATGGCTGTCTACATCGACATTCGCACAGTGTACGAGATACGCGAACGTCCTAGTAGGATGTACAACTGGACTGCTCTCGTCATGTTGCAGCTTGTCGCTGAGCTTCCCTGGAACATGACAGGTCCTGCAATGTTCTTTTTCTGCTGGTACTGGACCATTGGATTCCCCACAGCCTGGGCAGGCTACACGTTCCTCATTCTCGCCATCGCCTTCCCGTCGTACTATACTACGTTTGGACATGGTATCGCGTCCATGTCGCCCACCGCTCCAGTTGCATCCATATACTTCACAACTCTCAGTCTACTGGAACTGAGCCTGTTGGTGTTGAGCCTGATCAAAGCATGTCCGTCATTCACCGAAACATAGTTTGTGACAGCTGCAGCGAAATCATTGTTGGCATCAGGCATAAATGCTTGGACTGTCCTGGTAAGTTGATGATATGATGCCACAATGTTGTCTCATACATTTCCCAACCTAGACTACGATCTATGCACATCCTGTATTGAGTCAGGTGCTGCAGAGAAGCACAACTCTTTCCATGAAATCTTTGATATTGAAACGCCTGGACGGGTGCTCATTCACACGGTCTTTAGTGGAAGCAGGGGAGCGCGATGCTTCTGCAACTAGTCGTCATGCTACAGCAGATAGCCCTCGCACCTCCATGGCCACTTCAGCCAGCGCTGTGGAGGCTGTTCGTCACTGCGCTGCTTGCAATTTGTGCGATTCTCCCATTGTCGGTGTTCGCTTCATGAGTTTGCTTTCTTCATCGCACTTCCTTAGCACTCATGATAATCTAGAAATGTGTCAATTGTCCAGGTAAGAATGGTCGTCTGTACAATCATAGTGTGCTAATGATCACTTTAAATATTTTGATACTTGTGCTGACTGCTTCAAATTCTGCTATCAAAACATAGTCAGCATTAACACTCTGGTCAGGATTACTGGAGAGCAGCATCCCAATCACAGCTTTGTGTGGGTGAGCAAGACGAGTGACCTCATGGTAGCTGTACCCTTTTTGTGAAAAGAAATCTGTCTCACAATAATTCAAGATGCGCTATGCAGCTTTCAACATGGTTACTCATTATGCGACTGTGCACCAGTTGGATCATTGGCGTTGACAGGCAGCAGCGCTACTTCTCTGGGATCAATAGCAAACCTAGCAGTAGGACTACAAAAGTTGGATGGGGGATGAGCGATTTATTTGCATGAAATGGGAAGGTCTGGCAGCTGCCGTCATTTGGGTACACATTCTGGATGGAAATATACGTCCCAACTGCCCAGTTATCATTCTTGCACATGTACAGATTACGTGACTGGTATGTATGAGTTTTGTATTGCAGTCTTCCGGAAGTTGCCTGCCACGGCACCGTGTATGTGTTGAAATATTAAGTCTTGTTTATTGTGCATATCATTGCCATATCATATCTGTCCTCCGTGTACATCATACTCAGTACTCAATGGTTCCTGCTCGTGTCAATGGGAGGTATCGACTGAAAGAAAAAATAGGGTCGGGGTGCTTATGGTAAGCGAATTTTTATTATTATTACATCTCACTGTGAGGACTGAACTTTGAGACAGGTGAAGTGTACCATGCAAGCGATATCATCGGTGATGGTGATGTGGTTGTCAAGCTCCAATGTATCACTGGCTCCACCACCAGCTTGGAGCATGAGTATAATGTGCTCAGGCAACTTGGTGACACTGTTGGCATCCCCCATGTCCACTGGTTTGGATGCGAGGACAACTATGATGCCCTAGTCCTTGATTGTCTTGGACAGTCGCTTGAGAGTGTATTCAAGACATATAAACACTCTTTCAGCCAGCAACACTATAGTGTTCATAGCCCATCAGCTTGTAAGTATTTCCTAAATTACATTTACTGATTCTAAAAATTTCACTAGGTCTGCCTGCCTCCAGTACATTCACTCAAAACACTTCATTCATCGCGACTTGAAGCCTGACAACATCCTTATTGGAACTGGCAAGGATGCGCACAATATTTATCTTGTTGACTTCGGCATCTCCAAACAATACAGATACCCATGCACTCACCTCCACATTGCTGTTTGAACAAACCACCTCCTTGACAGGAACTCCGGCTTTCACGTCCATCAATAGCCATGCAGGCATGGAGCTAGCATGTCGTGATGATATCGAGTCCCTCGCATACCTCTAATTACTTATTTCGTGGATCTCTACCTTGGCTCCACTGTAGCGGGATCTCTGACAAGCAAGTTGTTGAGATGAAGTACGACACAACGAAGTTGTGCCAAGGTCTTCCTGAAGAGTTGAACAGATCCTCACCTATTCACATTCC